GTTATGAACTTTTCTTTTAGAACATACACAATCCCATGTTGTACAATTTCACATGGCGTCGACGGTGAAGGAATCCGTAATTCGAGATTATATTTTGTATTCGAAGGAATATCTGTCGAATTTAAAGAATTGGATGTTGAATTATTGTTTACAGCGCCCAAAGTATGTAACTTATCCTCAATTATATTTTTCATATTCAAATACAACCAAATAATAAATTTTTATTCTTAGTCTCGCAGCCTATGTCCAGAAACAGATCCTTCATACTATTTCAGTGATGATCAAAAGAAGCCTCGATGATTGTCATGAAATTGAAAAACAATCAATGTTGATACAAATTCAGGAGCTTGTGACAATGGATGGTTACAACGTGAGTATATGCGTTCTAATTGTATATAATCAAATTATTATTGATTTTCACCGAACGTTTGCATATTTCTTTAGCGACAAGTTGGGGTTGCTTTGGCTAATGAATTAGTTGATGAATTTTCCACAACAAAAGCAAGCAGCGTCGGTCTTCCCTGGGATTTTCATAAAAAAACCAAAGAATTCTTTGAAGTTAATATCAAAATCAAAATTTAAATGATTTTGGTTAATTTATTAAATACATTAATAATTTTTGCAATTTCAGGCTACTTTTCTTCTCCCATTGTTTGAAATGGTTCTTCGAATTTTGCATCAGCGATCACAATTTTATATAGAGAAGCAATTATCGCAATCTTTCACAAATGGACGTGGGCATACAACAAACAATTTGCAAAATGATTTGAGGCATGATACGCTCTTAACGATTTCACTGAACCTTGTAGAGAAAATTTTGTACTGGGATTTTGCCAGTAAAAATGATTCTTTGTTAGCGGGTACCTTTGCAAAAGAAGGGAATGACATAATAGAAGACACATTGTTCATCACTGCTAAAACACGGGAATTTCCTGTGAGTTGGAGAAGTCATATAATTCATAATGAAGTCTTACGGATGTTTTTCACAGTGACGTATTTTCAAATCAAATTTTCTTTTTATGCTTGTTTTTTAATTTAAATATATTATAAAATAATTAAAATAATTTTTGTCATTTATTA